GTTAACGTTTGGGGGATGTCGACAGCCTGTCAAGCTTCAGTCCCCCTTTCCACAGAGTGGGTGGTCCACGCCGACTCGTTCTGTTGGCTCACCTAGATGTTCGGGCCTCCGGAAGTGGACCTCTTCACATTGTCGTGGTTGAGGCATCTTCCTGTATATGTGGCACCCTTCCCCGATTGCGAGGCCGTCGGGATTGACGCCTTCAGGCATGACTGGGCGAGGTGGGGTTACCTGTACCTCTTCCTCCCGGTTCCGCTGTTTCTTCAGGTTCTAGCTCACTTGGAGACTTACCAGGGAAGAGTTGTTGTTCTGGCTCCTTGGTGGCCAGCTCAGCCTTGGTTTCAGGCGTTGCTTGCTCAGTGTCTGAACCTGAGGGTCATCCCATGGCTCCACCTCTTTCAGCAGATCTGTCCAGCCTGGTACAAGGCTGGTTAGTTCTTCTCCTCAAGTCTTCGAGTCTGGAGTTATGACTCGAGTTTATCATCACATGTATGGGGCACAGGTGGCTTCGTTGTTGGTCTCCCACCTGCATGCTTCATCTCGGCGGCATTATGAAGTTTCCTGGCAGTCCTTCATGTTTTCTTATCACTGCGTAGGTGTATTTAGGTCTGTGATTGGATTGTTTTGTTTTTCCTTTCGTGGTTGTTTCTTTCCAGGACCATCATGTTATACCAAATACTGTTTTTCTGTTGGTTACCTGTACCTCTCTCCCCCCCCCCCCCCCCCAGTTCCGCTGTTGCTCCAAGTCCTAGCTCACTTGGAGACTTATCAGGGGAGAGTTGTCCTGGCTAATTGGTGGCCAGATCAGCCTTGGTTTCAGGCGCTGCTTGCTCAGTTTCTGAACCCGAGGGTTTTCCGGCTGACCCCAGGCTGCCTCCCTCCTCCCCTTAAACGAGGGGGAGGTGGAGTGAACAAGCTTGTTCTGGTTTTGTGAAGTTTTGATCGTTTGTTTACATTGTTGGGAAGTCCTTTTGGTACTTTTCAAGGCTGCAGTCTTGGTTTGAAGCCAACAGTGGTTTGTTTTCTTTTGCTGACTTTCTAGGTTCCATCCTTGGAGGTGGCAAACATGAATAAGATTCATGGTAATTTTATCATACATGTAATTGTTCTCTGTGCCTCTTTAGAGGGGGCCAGGGGGCTCATGGTTCATGGTAAGCCTAAGAGAACTCCACAACTGATAGCATTTACTAGTATGGCACTATCAGCACAGTATATAGCTTTAGGGAGCCACCAGGGCTCATCCAGAAATTGGCACTCGATTACAATCAATGCGGATTTTTCTGGGGGGGAGCCCCTATGTCTCCCCGGAGCTATTCAGGCTGATATGGATATCCCTAAGTTTGGCATCAGTCGATGTGGGTGGAGTTCTAGGCCTACCGGGGACCACGAGCCAGAACCTGGCACCCCTCAGAGAGGCACCGGGAGCAATGGCCCATAGATGCACATATGATTTTGGAGCATTCCATATATGCCATTGATCGGGACAGGCACCCAGAAAGGTAAGTGCCACAAAACAAACCCCTATTCGGGTTAAAAACAACAAAAATAGACAAAGAGTGGACAGAACTCCCCAATTGAAAACGAGCAAACAAGCATGACGTCACACGAGCCGCGCCGCATGTCTGCGCAGCTTCCCCCTCCCCAGGAGGGGAAAGGGGGGAGCCCCAGACCCCCACGCCGGCGATCCACACCATCAGTTCCTCGGCTGATGGGATACGGCTTGGTCGAAGTAGCTCCGCCTCCACCTTTATTCTATACCTCATCTTCTCCGGTTCACGCATCTCTGGACATGATCCTCTTGTGTTGTTCCCGGAATGTTACACGGCTCAGCTGTGTCGTGACACGATAGTGTCAACGCTTTACAAGTGAGAGTATATGGTCTGGTGACACTGTCAGCCAGGCACTAGTTCTCGGTTTTTGGATGAGTGTTATTTGTAGCGAGTTGATTGGCCGTTTTGCGTGCATCTTAACGTGGCCTTCCTATGTGTTTCTCTCACTGCTCCTCTGCCCCCAGGTTAAGGCCTGATTGTGGGTTCCATGGAACATCAGTTGGACACTCATTCCTTGAATGTCTTTGCTTTCTTGATACTTGTTCCTTGCTGGGCACTCGCTCCTTGCCTCAGTTCTTGCTTCTGGTCACTCCTTCCTTGGTCGTCGTTCAGTGCTTGGCTGCACTCTGTATACATTGGAGTGTGTCTGTATATTTATGTGATCATGTACATTCCCTTTTCATTGTGTTCCCTACCCTCTATACAGTACTACACATTGTTGCTTGTCTCTTAGTATGTGCTTATTGGCTATACTAGTGTTGGTGCTAGGTTGGGCTGTGTACATGTTCAGTTCCCTGTGCTTGGACAGCCCCGCTGTTCAGTTGTAGAATTTGGGTTCTTTCATCTTCTCGTATGTCCCACGAGCTTCTGTGTTGCAATGTCTGCTGGTGGCTGTAGGTTCCATTCACCCCCTCCTGTTCCTTTTTGTTGGGACAGGGCCTTTTCCTTGTGTTCCTTTGCCAGACAGTACATTTTGCCTTAGTGTGGTACACATCCTGGGTAGTTCTCCTTATCTGGTACCCTGCTTCACGTGCATTGTTCTGCCCTGCTGGTGGTGTTTGCACTTTGGCTCTTTGGTTTTCGTCTCTGAATTTGTCCTTGCTGTTTGTAGAGGGGGGAGGGGTTCCTCCCGGACGGGGCGTATCTGCTCGCCCAGGTTTGTTCTTTCCCGGCTCACCGGGTTTGGGTTCCTGGGGCCAGATTCACGAAACAGTTACGCAAGCACTTACGAACCTGTTCATCTTTTTCTCAATCTTTGGCAGCTTTGTTTACAATTATTAAACAGTTACTGTAATGAGCTCCGAGACACTAGGAGGCTGTTTATAAAATAACAACAGTTGATTGGCAAGTTTTCATGCTTGAAAACTGTTTAATAAATGTAACCAAAGCCGTTAAAGATTGAGGAAAGATGTACACGTTCGTAAGTACTTGTGTAACTGCTTTGTAAATCTGGCCCCTGGTTCCCTGGTGGGCATTCCTTCTGGTTCCTTGCAAGCCTTGGATTCAATCGATGCTTGCTCAGTGTCAGATCCCAGGGGTTTTCCCCCGACTCCGCCTCTTCTCATTATTAGTCCGGTCCATATTGGGGCTGGTTTGGTCTTCTTCTCGAGTCTTCCAGTCTGGTGCTTTTCACTCGAGTCTCTCACCATCTTTGGTGGTCAGGTGGCTGTACTCATGGTGCCCCACCTGCGTGCTTCGTCTCGGTGGTGATATGGGGGTTTTGCTGGTGGTCCTTCCTTTTTTTTGTCTTTTCGTAGGTATCCTGCTGTTTTTGTTGACGTAGTCTTGTCCTTCTCTCGTGGAGGTTTCAGACTGTCGCCTTGTCTCATGCAGCGCTGGTAGAGCCTCTGCGGTTTGCTTTTGGTTTTGCTATTCCTTCTGCTCAGTTGCACAGGCTTTCTTGGGCGTTGTTTGCCTCCGGCATGCTCATGTGCCGCCTGCGCCGTCCTGGTCTTTGACCGGTGTGCTCTCGTTCTGTCTTTGCCTCGGTTGGTTGTAGCCCTTTCAGTTCAGGTTTGTTTTTCTCTTTCTTGTTCGTTTACAGCCATCTTGTTCTTTTCTAGCAAGGAATTGGTCTGCTGCGTTCTGGAGGGGTTCTTGGGTTGTTGCTGCCTGGTTGGTCGGGCCAGGGGTGCATTTTGTGTTGTCTGGTTGCTGCCCTCTGTCGTTATTTGTGTAATTACCTAAGTGTAATTACACAAATGCCACAGCTTCTGTGTCTGGGGACGCGCTTTGGGTTGATCCAGTTTCACTTCTTCCCTGTTCGCGGGGTACGGGTCTCTTAGGTCGTCCACAGGGTTATTAAGTCTTGCCAGCCTGCGGTTTCTCCCCGTGCCCTTGATGTTCGTAAGTTTGCTGCTCTTGCTGCCGTCTTTGGTAATATGGCCTGGGCTGACATTCGGGCATTGGGTCGGTGGCTGCATCCTGTCTCGACTTTGAGTTGAGGTGTGGAGCACTGACTGCCTCCTGGGTACGTCCCCTTCTTTATTTTGTCTTTGGTGAAGTAGCTCCGGGAAGCCGTAGGAGTTCCCTCCAGAAAACCAGCGTTGAATATAATGAAACACCATTTTCTGGGTGAGTCCCGGAGGCTCCCCGGCAACCCTCCCTCCCTCTGATCGGCATTTTTTTTGGCGTATTTTGATATCTAGCCTCGGAACTGAAGGTGTGGATCGCCGGTGTAGGGGTCTGGGACTTCCTCTTCCTCCTCCCGGGGAGTGGGGAGCTATGCAGACATGCAGCGCACCTTGTGTGATGTCACGCTTGTTTGCTTGTTTTCAATTGGAGAGTTCTGTTCACTAGTTTATCTATTTTTGTTATTTTTAACCAGAATAGGGGTTTCTTTTGTGGCACTTACCTTTCTGGGTGTCTGTCCTGGTCGATGGCAGATAACACCAAAATCTCATGTGCATTCTATGGGTCATTGCTCACCGTGCCTCTCTGAGGGGGGCCAGGTTCTGGCTCGTGGTCTCCGGTAGGCCTAGAACTCCACCTACATCGACTGATGCCAAAGTTAGGGATATCCATATCAGCCTGGATAACTCCGGGAAGCCTCGGGGACTCACCCAGAAAATGGTGTTTCATTACATTCAACGCTGGTTTTATGGTTTTGGTTAAAAGTATTATTCCAAGTAACAAGTTTGATTCATTAGAGTGTAACGTATGTGAGATGTAGTACATAAGGAAAATGGATGCAGGCAATGAATGAATTCCCATAAAGGTAAAATAAATTGTTAAATATCAGACAAAATATTTTATGCTGTTTAATAAAGAATGGAAGAAAGGCAGGAAAATTAATGGGATGGTTAAGGATAAAAATAGAATAATATAATATACTGATGATGAGGCACAAATTCAAGTCTTTCATGAACCATCCATAATATATTATACTGATATTTATTATTTTAAATAAATATTTGATTTATTGAGTAACTAATCACTGGATATTATTAGGGGGTCATCTGAATCTGAACCAGAGACTGCTGCTGCTCCAAGCAAACGTGGTCCAAAAACGTCAGCCACAACTATACCTAAAAGCACAGCCCCAACTTCAAGCACTCAAAGAAAGACTGGCCCAAAGCCAGCTGCACGACCTCAGCAAGCGGCTACACAGAAGCCTCCAAGTAAAACACAACAACAGAAAGGGAGTGGTGCTGTTGTACAACAGAAGAAGTCAGCACAAAGCAAGAAATCTCTAGGTAGGCCATTGTGTTTGTACTGTAAGTTATATTTTTATATAATTTGTATACATTTATTTATACAGAGCAAAGTAGTCTATAATGCACAGAGCCATGTGCTTTCTAGACCTCTTACAACCAAGACTGAACGGATAACCTGTTAAGTCTGTAAAAGTGAGTTGCCATCAAGAAAATCTAGGGTAAAAAATAGACAATTTTATGGCAAATATTCAACAGTGTTATATTTTTATAGTGTTGGGTTGACTGAAGTGGAGATTAACCTCAGTGATGTGCCACATTTATTGTGACATTCTGATCGTGTGCCGAAAATAAAGTGCTCCCGTAAAAAAAATCGTTGTAAACTGTTAAAAGCCCTTCCCAGAACATGTACATGTAAAAAAAAAATACCAAAAACACCCTACTTTGGCTCTGGGGACATGGAGAAAGTGCAATGTGATGTCATCAAGGGCTCCGTGGACATCTTCAAGAGGACACTAGATTTATTCCTCCAAGGAGTGCCGGACCAACCGGGCTGTGGTGGGTATGTGGGCCTGCGGACCGCTCCAAGCAACAGCCTAGTGGACCAAACTCTCACAAGTCAAGCCTTGCCTCGGGCCGGGCTTGGGGAGTAGAAGAACTCCCAGAACCCCATCAACCAGGTATCAACCAGGCTGTGCGCCCATGTGTGAAGCTCCCAGAGGCAATCGCGCTGGCCATTCAAGACTCGCGAGTTGCCACAAATATATTTACATATATTTTCTGTGGGGAGCCCCTATGGCTCCCTGGAGCTTATATTAGACCAGGACATTAGCTATGGAGTTCAGACCTACCAGGGACCAGAGCTGGAACCTGGCCCCTTCAGAGAGGTTTCAGGGAGCAACTGCCCTGGAAAACCCCCCTGTGGTTGGGGGTTTTCCTTATCTGTCATCGACTAGGGTTAGGCACCCAGAAAGGTAGGCATAACAAAACAAACCCCACATGGCAAGAAACTAAAAAAAAAAAAAACGAACAGAGAGTTAGAAACTCCCTACAATCCCAAGGAAAAGAGCAAACAAGCAAACATCACACTTTACTGCCGCACAGCCCTCCCCTCCCCGAGAGGGGGAAGGAGGGGGACCCCGGACCTCGCCATGCCAGCTGCCTAGCACTCCAGTTTGTAAGCTAATGTCAATCGGGACAGACGCTTCTCTGGCCTCAAATTCCTGGGCGGTATTTGCCTGTGTGGCATGCTCTGCCTTCTTGTTGTGTTGTGTGGTGCCCAGGAGTACCTCATCAGTGCCAGGGCTGCATGCGCTTAGGGCTTCCCTCCCGAAGCGCCCTGTAAGTACTGCCCCTGCGTGTCACGGTTATCTCTGGGGCGTTTGGGGATCCACTCCCATAGGGGTTCTTGCTGCTCAGCATTTACCTTGCCCTTGGGCCATCTGGGGCCTGGGGCCCCTTGTTTGGCCTTGGGTAGGGAGTGGTGTTGTGCTGGTTAGGGCGTCAAGGTGTTGTGCGACCTGCCACCTAGGCGGCGACCAGTTCCTGTTGCCTCTGGGGATGGTATACTCTTGCTGGGTTTTTCTTTTTTGTTTTTGTTTTTGTTTTCCTGGTGGGGGTCTGCCTACTGGGACAATAGTTCCTCTGATACTATTTTGATGGCCCAATGCTAGGCCCCCGTGCTTGTACATGTCGCAAAGTTTTCAGTGTTGTCATCTACCCCTTGTTAGTTTGGGTGTTTAACTGGTTAGCAACACCTTGCCCGGACTTCCCGTAGTTGTTACCCTATGGGCCCTGGAAAACCAGGTCGGGGCTCGGTGGACCCCATGGACCCCATGGATGAGTCTCCCGAGTTCCAGCCTGCCTTGTGCGGGTTTGAAGGTTGCTGTGTGCTCTTGTTTCAGGGTGACAATCATCTGTTTTGCCTCCGTTATGCTGCCTGTTGGGTCAATGACACCTTTGACCCGGAGTCTTGCGAGTCGTGTTCTCTGCTTGTGCTCCAGTTTTATTCTGATGATGTTGCTATTAGGATACAGGCAGCATCCTCGTTGCATGTTAGGTTTAGGTTACTGCAACGCGCTAGGTTGGTTTCCCACCCGGATGCCCCACGGCTGCCCCGCTTTGGTTTTAGGAACCTGGACCTGGGGGCGTTAGTCACTTCGACTTTGGTTTCGTCCGCGCTCCCTGGTCCTTTCCTTGTTCATCCTCCACCTCCCCCCCTATGTCCGGCTCCCAAATGTCTGAGGGTTTCGAATTTAGCAGTTGGTAATGAGACTCCGGTGGCTTCGGGGGCTGCCCCATTCGGGTCAGAGACAGAGGCATTCGAGCCATTTCCTCCTGCCGAGGCGTAAGGGTCCCATCAGCAGGCCTCCTTTCTTGTCTGCCTTTCCGCTGGACTCTGCCTTTTCTTCAGGGGTAGAGGGTTTGGAGGACGGCTCTGCCCTGGGTCCCGATTTGGGAAATCTCGGGCCTGGGGAGGAGATGACCTGGGAGGCCTTGGGCCCCCCTTTGACCCCGCTTGGGTGCTTTTGCCTTTCTCGCGGGGCTTATTGTTGCAGGAGGAGGGGTTTTCCTACCACCTTTTCTCTGTTTGAGTATGATTTGGGTTCAGCTCCTCCCCGGGTTCGGTTATGGGCCCCTTTGGGTACCTCGGCCCCATCTTTCCAGAAGTTTTCTACTTCTCGTATCTCCGCGAAGGAGGTTCAGGAGACTCTTGCTGCATACCTCTTGCGAGACCCAGTTTATGCCTCTGTGATGGATCCGTCCTCTTTTGAGTTCGGTTCTTCTTCCCGATTTTGGGTGCGTTTGGAGGTTCCGAAGTCTTCCTGGCTGGCAGACTGCCCATTCTTTTCGTTGGGGGCGTGGCATGGGTTCTGTTGGACCAGCATGCTTGATTGGCGAGAAACTTCTACAGTTTTGCAGGTTTACCTGGGGGGCGAGTTTGAGCACCTTAATGCGTGCTTGTTCGCCCCCGTGCTTTCTCAGGATGTTGGCCTTTTACGGCTTCATGTGCAGGTTCCTTCTCTTTCGGCATCGTTGGTTGCGGAGGATTTGCGTGCTCGTGGGCATTTGGCTTCAGTCTTACATTTCTTTTCCCTTCTCGAGCTGTCTTCTGCCTGGCTTGAGAAGGATGTGGAGGCGTTGAGTGCTGGGTCTTCGTCTTGGGTGCTGACTTCGGCAGCTTCGAACAGGGGTCCTGGCTGCACGCTACTGTAACACCAGTATTTGTAACACTAATAATAAAACACTAATATTGTAACACTACTACTCATTTATAATACCACCATACAGTACACTAAATATTATTGTGTTCTAGACTGTATTTGATGGTGCGAAGTGAAGCAGAAGGAAGGGAGGGAGGAATAAAAGGAGAAGAGAGGGGAGGTGGAAAGATTTAGAAAATGTGGACGAGGAGGGAGAACTCATCTGTGGGGCAACAGAAAACAAGGGGCGCATGGGAAGGGTGAAGGTGGGACGAGGAGAGGAGGAGGAAGGAGGAGGCGGGGGGATCCTGAGGAGGGGTAGGAAGGAGCCGAAGGAGAGAGTAAGTGGGAGTAGAGAGTAGCTTGAGGAATACTAATAGATATACTGAGTAACACTTCCTGCCGATAGCACTTGGTAACACTGTTATTGAACACTGTACAGTATTTATATTTAACGTAATATGAGCTGACATATGATGGTTACACCGGAACCAAAGGTACCCAAAAAGGAAATGCTACACAGGATTAACTACGCTGCCACCATCTGCCTTGTCCCTTAACTATATCAAGCAACGAGGCAAGAAACATTGCTTGACTTGGAGAGCCCTTTTTTTTTCTTTAACTGTCATTAATTATGGGACAGTTGTTAGCAAACTCTATCCAGAGGTTAAGAGGATCCAACAGTTGACACAGACGGAAAGTTTAACATGAGTTTATCGAGAACAAATTATGCTATTCACCACTATAAATCCTACTCTAACACTGGCCAATAGTTAAGAAATTTAGACATGGAACAAAACCCTCAGAGATCACACTTTACCTTAAGACCCCTGTCTCTCCACCCGGTGGATTCACTCTCTCTCCCGGACTGTGTGATGTTCTTCACAGACCCACTCTGGACCCTGGTGACTGGCACTCTCTCCCGCTACCTTCTCTACAGAACCATATATACACCCCAAAAGGGGGAGGGGGATATTTGCTGTTGCTACCTACACCAAAGATGCAAGAGGACGGGCCACATGTGCACAAACACTTACGAAATTTTTCCATTAAGTTTTTGTGACATTCACCATACACTCTTCAAGAGAGGAATTATTAATTAAGTGTGTGACTGACCTCTGACCTGGCTAAAAGGAGGAGATCCATGGATGTTTACACATAAGAATCTGGGGAGTCTAATTCCATTACAATGTTTGATAAGAGTATCATGAAATATTACATACTTGAAACTAGCTGACTAAGAATAACCCGGGAATTTTTAATCAACATACAAGATAATCCAGAGATCATCTGGGCTGACCTCTTGGAGAAGGCTTCCCTGGGTGTGAACTCTAGGGGGGGGGTGGGGGGCATGGGTGTTACACTACCTCATAAATGTTCCTGGGCCTAGTCAGGCCTGTGTCGCTTTAGATCGGCAGCTGCAGCCTGTCTCAACTTCGAGTTGAGGTGTGGAGCACCAACTGCCTCCCGAGTAAGTCCCTTCTTTATGTTGTCTTTGGTGAAATAACTCCGGGGAGCCATATTCCCTGTTTTTCCTTGTCTTTGGGTAGTTAGACTCCAGGGATCTGATAGTGCTTCCCCCAGAAAACCAGGGTTAAATGTAATGAAACGCCATTTTCTGGGTGAGTCCCGCTGGAGGCTCCCTGGCAACCCTCCCTCCCTCCAGTCGGGGGTTTTTCACGTATTTTGATATCCAGCCTCAGAACTGCAGTGTGGATTGCCGGCGCAGGGGTCTAGGGCTCCCCCTTCTCCCCTTCCCGAGAGGGGGGAGCTGCACAGACATGCGGCGCGGTTCGTATGACGTCATGCTCGTTTGTTCGTTTTCAATAGGGGGAGTTCTGTCCACATGTTTGGTTTTTTCGTTGGTTTCACCAGAATAGAGGTTTGTTTTAAGGTGTTTACATTTCTGGGTGCCTGTCCCGGTCGATGGCAGATATAAAATGCTCCAAAATCACATGTTCATTTCTATAGGCCATTGCTGCTCGTGCCTCTCTGATGGGGCCAGGTTCTGGCCGTGGTCCCTGATAGGCCTAGAACTCCACCCACATCGACTGATGCCAAAGTTAGGGATATCCAGCTCATGCGCTATGGAAAAAATGAAAATATAAAAACGAAAACCACGTACAAAACTCAGGCAAATCATAACATAGAACGAAAATGTAAAGGATCTGGGTGTACTCATGTCGGAAGACCTTACCTTTAAAGAACACAATAAAGTAGCCATCACAACTGCAAGAAAAATGACAGGTTGGATAACAAGAACTTTTCACACTAGAGATGCTATACCGATGATGATACTTTTCAAAGCGATTGTGCTCTCTAGAGTGGAGTACTGCTGCACAATGACATCCCCTTTCAAAGCTGGAGAAATTGCTGACCTGGAGAGCATGTAGAGATCCTTTACTGCTAGAATCCACTCGGTAAAACATCTAAACTATTGGGACCGACTAAAGAGCCTAAATCTGTACTCCCTTGAGCGCAGGCGGGAGAGGTACATAATAATTTACACGTGGAAAATATTAGAGGGGCTGGTCCCAAACCTGCACACAGAAATAACATCACATGAGACCAGAAGACATGGCAGGATGTGCAGAATACGCCCGTTGAAAAGCAGAGGTGCAACAGGTACTCTGAGAGAGAACTCTATCAACATCAGAGGCCCGAGACTGTTCAACACGATTCCGCTACACATAAGGGGCATAACTGGCAAACCCCTCACAGTGTTCAAGAGAGAACTGGATAAGCACCTCCAAAGGATACCTGATCAACCAGGCTGTGACTCATACGTCAGGCTGCGAGCAGCCGCGTCCAACAGCCTGGTTGATCAGTCCAGCAACGAGGAGGCCTGGTTGACGACCGGGCGGCGGGGACGCTAAGCCCCGGAAGCACCTCAAGGTAACCATCCATATCATCCTGGATAGCTCCAGGGAGCCTCCAGGACTCGCCCAGAAAATGGTGTTTCATTACATTCAACGCTGGGTTTTCTACATGTACATGGTCAGGGGAAGGGAATTTATAATTTTACAAAGATCAAAATTTTGTTTACAAACACTTGATTTTTGGTGCACAGGGAAAATGTCCCAATAAACACTGCACATCACAGTGGTTAATGCTAGAATTTTATGCTACTGAAATTTATAATTTTTCAGTTAATAGTGTATTAAAATCTGTTCATCTCAGAATGCTGATTGTATATTGTGAGAAGTATTTATGTAGGGAACTCCTTTGCTCATAGTGATCTTAATGTGGCAGGGAGTGGAGGTGCATCATCCACGGACAAATCCTCAAAGAAGAAGTCCATTTTCTCCCCAGACAACAGCACTGATTCTGAGAGCGAGACCAAGAGGCCAGTGAGTAAAAAGGGACCACAACCTAAGTCACAGCCCAAGCTTCAGCCCAAACCGCAGCCAAAGGCACAACCTAAAACCTCGGCAGTCCAGAAATCTAGTGCTCAGCAGCGGAAAGGAGCTAGTAAAGTTAATGAAAAAGTATCGGAGAAGTCTTCAGAATCGTCAACAAATTCTTCCACAGCATCCTCAGGTACGGAGAGTATTTATTAATTTACATTTACAAAATAAAAAAATTTCTGGCATATGAATGTGGCCACCATCAGTGCTCATCACTCATTACCTTTATTTTCTCTTTGTGAAGCACTCAAATATCATGAATCCATAAAAAGTCCCAGAATTTTGATAAAAAGAAATAGAAAGTGTTTTAATATTAATAGATGGTGGACAGCTGTCAGGGCGCTTGACAGCTGGGTGGACAGCGCTTTGGATTCGTAGTCCTAAGGTTTTGGGTTCAATCCCCGGTGGAGGCGGAGACAAATGGGCAAAATGTCTCTTTCACCCCTGATTCCCCTGTTACCTAGCAGTAAATAGGTACCTGGGAGTTAGACAGTTGTTACGGGCTGCTTCCTGGGAATGGAGGCTTGGTCGAGGACCGGGCCACGGGGACACTAAGCCCCGAAATCATCTCAAGATAACCTCAAGATGGTAGAGCTCATGTTAACTGTGTTAAACAAAATTAAATGGTAATGAAAGTGAATACTTGAATGGTGAAAATATTGTCGAGGTAGGTGTCTGGTTGAAAATAAAAGAAATAATTAAGAATTATGCTTGTAAACTCTCACTACCCTGACTGTACTGATATGGCAGAATTTTCTGGGGAGGAGCCCCGTTGGCTCCCCGGAGCTATCCAGGCTGAATGTATATGTATAATTTTCTGGCATCAGTCAATGTGCATGGCATTCTTGCCTACCGGGGATCATGAGCCAGAACCTGGGCTCCTCAGGGAGGCGCGAGGAGCAATGCCCTATAGAAACCCCCATGTGGTTGGGAGTCTGTGTCTGCCATTGACTGGGTCTGGAACCCAGAAAGGTAGGCGCTCCAAAACAAACCCATATTCTGGTGAAACTATTGCTACCGAAAGCTGAATGAGTGGAAAGAACTCTCCAAACGAAAATTAGCAAACGAGCATGACATCATCACATTGTCACACCACTGTCTGTGCAATCTTCCCTCCCTGGGAGGGGGAGGGGGATCCAACCACCAGTTCTTGGCTGATGCGATTCTTGAGTAGTCTTGTGCCTCTGGCTCCTGCTTTTTGTCTCAGTTCTGTGCCATGTGGCACGCCTCAGTCTCAGGAGACTATGGAGTTGCGTTCTAGTTGTCAGTCTGGAGTGGCCTCTCCAGGGCGCAAAGACAGAGTAGGTTGATATGGAGGAGAAGCTGTTACCCAAGCAGCAGGTTCCCCCTCTCCACTGCACTGAAAGTCTCCAATGGAAAGGCAAACACTAATACGATTGGTTCCATAGCTGTTGCAGAAACTGTAAGCTCTGGAGTTGATCTCGAAGTTGGTGAAAGAAGGCACAGGGACTCCAAACCCGGAGACCACCGTGGTCGGGGCCAGAGAAGAACCACCCCATAAAGGGCAAGAACGACCCCAGCCTCCTGGGGTCGTTCTGAGCCCCAGGAGCCCCAGGCTCCTGGGGAAGCAAAGCCTGGGCCGCACGAGCCCCAGGAAGTGGACATCCCAGTCCCGCACCTACGGGTTCCAGACAGAGATCATCACAGCCCTCTTTCACCCGAGGCCGGCTTCCTTCAAGACCAAGCAGAAAGAAGAGTGATAATTATTACATACAACAGCCGGTCGGCCAAGAAGACAGCACACTGGACTTGTGATCCTGTGGTCCCGGGTGCCAGCGAGAAACAATGGGCAGAGTTTCTTTCACCCTATGCCCCTGTTACCTAGCAGTAAAATAGGTACCTGGGTGTTAGTCAGCTGTCATGGGCTGTTTCCTGGGGGTGGAGGCCTGGTCGAGGACCGGGCCACTGGAACACTAAAAAGCCCCGAAATCATCTGAAGATAACCTCAAGATAACAATTATTATTATAATAATTCTAATAATAATATAATTAATTAATAATTATCACTCTTCCTTCTGCTTGGTCTTGAAGTATATACTGTATATATGTATAATATGTAATAATATTTATTCATACAGAATGTAGCAATACTTATGGTGTTCATTTGTACTTTAAAATAATGAATTTCAGGAAGTGATAGTGACAGCTCTTCTGACTCTTCAGCATCAGCTAAATCCTTATCTGATAAACCAGTCATTCAACAAATAGTGCGTAGAAAGTCTCAGACTAAGTCTACACCAGCCTCAACTGAAAGTGATAAGGAAGAGGAGGAAGAGGAAGATGAGGATGAAGAAAACACTCCTAGAAAACATGTGACGAGATCATCCAGTGTTCGTACCAAGAGGGGCTCCCTATTAGGGATGCAAAAGGGGACTGAATCAGATTCCGAGAATAATGGTAAGGCATATCATTGCTTATGTTGTGCCAAGATCAATGCCTGTCATAAAATAGAGAAAGTTAGCGTTGAATAATTAATAACAGTACACACATGAAGGGCTTGAATGAAAAGCTGGGCGAGATTAAAGAATGCAAGCAAGAGGTAGTATTTTGCAAAGTAGTCACTATCCCAAATGATAGCTTAGTTTTTACTGGTTTGTAAGGTGTAGGCTGCTGCTGTTGATTAGTAAGTGTATGTAATAAGAGTGATGCAGAAGTGCTGTAGATTTTACCCAACTTCCCTCCCTTTTCCTGATCCTTAAAAATCACAAGTCAAGCCGAGACAAAGATGGCCACTGCTCTCTAAAAGAGTGGCCATTAAAACAGGATCCTTGAATCTGTTCTTACACCCCTTATGCTACCATGAGACTTATTTCCACAGCTGTCATAACTGAATTTCCAATATTGGGATATCCTGTATTAATTATCACAAATATATGGTAATTAATACAAGATACTGACATTTCCAAGTCTAAATATACTGTGTACAACTGTAAAGTATTAAAATCAGAATTAGAGGAAACATTATTCTGACATTCAAACTTTTGAACATGCCACACCATTCAGAGCAAACTTTCAAATTATTTTTATATCACATAACTGGTTTGTACAGCTATTGAAAATACAAGACAAAATAATATAAACTAATTGAATTAATGTAAAACATCAATAATCATAATTAGTGTTAAAGGTCAAAATCATGTAAAATCATTGTTTATAGAATTTAATACTCTAATATTAATTTTCTGAGGGATGCCTTGTTGGCCCCCCAAAGCTATCACACTGATTTAGTGCCATACTACTAGGCATCATCAGTCGCAGAGTTCTATTGGCCTACTGGGGACCACGAGCCAGAACCTGGTCCCCTCTAGAGAGAGGCGCAGGGAGTGATGGCCTATAAACACTCTACATTTAAAGTTTATCATCTTTGCCACCATCCAAGGAAAGACACCCAGAAAGAAAGATGCAGGTGTTCTAGGAGGACTCATTGGAGTTTCTCAGTCTATGCCTCTTCTCCCCTGCACTTTTCCATGATGTGGCATGTAACTGGAACAGTTACATGCTCAAATCTCCTCTCTTTCAGCTGCCTTGGTAGCTGTTGACCATCGAACTCGGGGTCATTTGACTTCGGCCTTGTGCTTCTTCGATCTTCTCGAGCTGTCCTTGGATTGGTTTTTCGGAGGATGTGGAGGCTTTGACTGGAGGGCCTTCGGCAGGAGTTCTGGTTTCGGCTGCCGAGGTGTCAGCTGTCTTGTTGCAGCGGTTTGCGCCGATCCTCCAGGAAGAACTTTATATGTTTTTTTGCCTCTTGGATTTTGTTTGGACCCTGGCTTTACAGTTTTTGTCTCCGTTCTGTCCCCTGTTATTTCTGGAGGACTGTGTTACTCAGTTTTTGTCGGGGGCTTCTACCAGTTTCCGCCCTGTTTCTGATCTGTTGGTGCTCCGGGGTGGGGGGATGACTAGAGTTTAGTGTACTTATAGATACATGAGCTCAGGGTTCTCTTCGCTGTGCATTTTTCGTACTGCTCTTGCACGGTCAGGGCTACCTTCCCTGAGCGTGCAAGGGATATGCTCCCTTTAGGGGGGCCCTCCTCGCTTTGAGGGTGGACCTCGCCCTCTTTGCCCATGCTTGGTTCCATGATTTGTGGGCTTTTCACATCATCTCATCCGGCCTTTGATGGTGCTGGGCGGCTCCTCCTCTGGTTGGAGGTTCGGGGATGGTGGGGCAGGCTTCTTCCCCGTCTCTGTCAGGTCATCTTGGAGTGGGTTCGTTTTGGCGTGGTCAAAACGACTATGTCCCTCAAGTGGGTTTCCCGCTTGTTTCAGGTTCCAAAACAGGACTGTGTGGATCTGCAGTTCACTCTGGACTTGTCCCGTCTTAACTGTTGGATTCCTTGCCCCTCCTTTCGGATGACTACTTTGTCTGGCTTTTTCTCGAGCTGGGCACTTAGATGATATCCTTGGACCTCAAGGGCAATATTGACACATTCCTCTTCAACTGGGGTTCAGGGATTGGCTAGGTTTTGTGGTCGGGCATCAGGTTTGCTGTTTTCATTGCTTTCTATTCTACTTGAATCTGGCACCTCCCATGTTTACACATTTAACCCGGGTCGTGGTGGCCAGTCTTCGTCTGCTAGGGGTTCAGGTTATGGCCTACGTTGATGACTGGTTGGTTTGGGTTCCCAGCCAGTCTGCATGTCTGCTCGCCAGCGACGTGTTTTGTTCCCAGCTTGCCAGGTTCGGGTTCCTGGTGAATTTGAGGAAGTCCCATCTGGTTCCATCTCAGGTTTGGATTTGGCTGGACCTCGTGTGGGATTCTTGGACTAGTTCCATTTCTCTTCCTCCTGTGGCTTTGCTCCAGCTGCAGTCATGTCGTCTGCTGTTTTTTATTGGGACTTGAGTCACTCAGCAGTTGCTCAAGCAGCTGTGTGGGAGCCTGAACTCTGCCTTGCTGGTTTTCCCACTGGGCAGGGTCTGGCTTCGTAGGCTGTTCTGGTATCTTCGGGCAGCCTATTTTGCTGCTCTTGCAATTGCTGGGTTCAACTTCTGGGGTTCTTACATTGGTTGCTGCATCTCTAGCTTCCTCTTTGGATTTTTGTGGTTCGGTGCCTTTGTGCCTTCCCCTTCCCTTGCTTGATGTGTTAACGGATGCCTTGTCTTTTAGCTGGGGTTTTGTGACTAGTGCTCACCAGGCCAGCCAGGGAAATTGGGCTCGCACCACGGAGCGAGAGTTTGCGGCTGTGTGGTGGGCACTGTGGCGGATTCAGTTGCCTTGGGGCTCGGTAATTTGGCTCCATTCAGACTGCTCTGCTCTCCTGTGGTTCATTGTCTCAATGGGTTGGGGGGGGGGGGGGAAGGGGCTCAGCGGTCTGTGGCTCTTTGGGGCTGGTCGCTTTGGGTATATCTGATGCTGAGGTCTCTGGATTTAGGTCTTCACACTGTTTACATTCAGGAGGTGTCCAATATTCTAGCGGACAGCCTGTCTCACTTCATTCCTCTTGCCACAGAGTGGATGGTCAACACTGCCTCCTTCCTTTGGCTTTGTTGGACGTTCGGGGGCCCCGGAAGTGGACCTCTTCGTGTCGGCTTGGTCCAGGTACCTTCCCATATATGTGACGCCGTTCCTCTACTGCGAGGCGTTTGCGGTGGATGCTTTCTGGCAGGACTGGTTGAGGCGAGGGTTCCTGTACTTTCATCTCCCTGTTCAGCTGTTACTTCGGGTTCTGGCATGGCTCAAATCTTATTGTTGGAGAGTGGTTCTCCTGGTTCTCCGGATGGTGGCCGGCCCAGCCTTGGTTTCAGATACTACTTGTATGGTGTCCGAACCTTGGAGTTTTCCATGGCTCCACTTCTTTCAGAAGGTCAGGCCAGTGAGGTACTTCGCTGGTTTGACTTACTCTTTTGTGCTTCATGTCTTTTTTTTTTTTTTTTTTTTACACGGGTGTATCAACATTTCTAGGGTGATCAGATCACTTCGTTGATGGTGTCCCATCTGCGGTATTCCTTTCAGCGACAGTATAGAGTCTCTTAGTGGTCTTTCCATCATTTCCTTTCCCTTCGTAGGATTTTGTCGGTGTCTGTTCCATTTGTTTTGCTTTTTCTTTCTTGGCTCTTTCAGGACCGGCATCTTATGCTGTTTCTTATCATCCACTGCTGGTTATGCTGCTCCAGCTTGCATTTGGGGTGGATGTCACTTCTGCTCCATTCAACAAGCTCACTCATGCAGTTTTTCACCTCCGGCCTGCTCATACACCACCTGAGCCATCTTGGTCTTTGGACCAAGATGTTGATGCTTGGTTGGTTAGGCCAGGGGTGCATCATGTTTTGTGTCCAGTTGCGGCTTTGTCGCTACCTGCAAGCTACTGGTTCAGCGACAGTAGATGTGCTCTGGGTGGACCCGGTTTCCCTGGTTCCCTGTTCCAGGGCTCGTGTCTCACAGGTTGTCTGCAAGGTTATCAAGTCTAGCCAGCCTGCGCTCTACCCTCGTGCCCATTATGTCTGGATGTAATTACCAAAGTGTAATTACCTAAGTGTAGTTACAGGATGAGAGCTACGCTTGTGGTGTCCCGTCTCCCCAGCACTCTTTGTCATATAATGCTTTGAAATTACTGACGGTTTTGGCCTCCACCACCTTCTCACTTAACTTGTTTCAACCGTCTACCACTCTGTTTACAAAAGTGAATTTTCGTATATTTTTCCGGCAGCTTTGTTTCGTTAGTTTAAATCTATGACCTCTTGTCAAGTATGTAGCTCTTGCTGCTGTCTATGGTAATATGTCTTGGGTCGATATTCGGGCGGAGGGGGTTTTGGAAATCGAACAGGGTCATGGCCGCCAGATATCTTGTTAACGTCCCGGGACTTCTGCAGCCTTGTGTTGCCTTGTGACGTCTCTCGCAGGCCAGTTGTCTCGTCTTTGTGGTGAGACATGCAGTGCTGCTGCCTTCCTGTTTTTACTTATCTGTGGGTAGTTAGCTTCAGGGAGCTGACAGGGCTTTCCTCAGAAAACCAGCATTGAATGTAATGAAACCCCATTTTCTGGGGTGAGCCCCGAAGCTCCCCGACACCCCTCCCTCCCTCCGCTCGGCAGTTTTCATCATGCACTAACATTAGTGGGTGAGGCACTAATGAGCGGGCGCGCTAGTTGGAAGGCGTGTTGCTTGTTTCCTTGTTTTCTACGGGGGGTGGGGTGCATTCTTGACCTTTATTATGACTTAGGGTGCACTTTTAATCAGAGGTTTGTAAGGGTTCACCTATCTTTCTGGGGGCCTTCCCCAGTTGGTGGCAGATATGAGAAACTCTACATATAGAGAGGTCATTTGGCCATTGATCCTTCACCTCTCTGAGGGGGCCAGGTACTGGCTTGTGGCCCCTGGTAGGCACTCGAACTCCAAGGACTGATGACACCAAATTAATATGACACATGTCAGTTTGATAGCTTCAGGAAGCCTCCGGGGCTCACCCAGAAAATGGTGTTTCATTACATTCAACGGTCTTTTGTTTTTTATGAATTTACTACCATTCTGCTACTTGAGTGTCCTTTCATTGCAAATCACAGATTTATTATTTGTTATCTCATACCATTCATAAGCTTTTTTCAGGATGTTGTAGAAGGCTGAAAATAAACATTCTCAATATAAGAAGACTTTCAGTGGGTTCTCTTTTTCATGTTTGTAGTTGCGGGAAGCACCTGCGTCTTTGATCGACAAGGCTTGGACATTCCACTAGAACATGGTACACTCTCACGGATACCAAGCAATCTTCACTGTATGGTTGTGGATTTCCCATCAGTAGGTATGAGTGTGTGTGAGTCTTGTATGGCCATTATCAATCTGCTCAGTATTACACCAGTTTTCATGGGGGTTGATGCAGAGATGGCTTTGTTTCCACCAGCAGTTTTATAGCCTTTAATTTGTTCATTTGTTTCCATTCCATCTGCCATTTTCTTTGTACAAAATTCTACATGACAGATTATACATCAATTCAGGTATTTTAAATGTGAGTTAATACTGATAGACTTGATGCTTTATTTTTTTTACTTTGCTTTTTTTCTGCTTCAATCCTTCAATCACCCAAATATTTGTGTCCTTGCACCCAGCAGAAGATAAAAAATGATTTAACTACAAGGACAGATGTGTGATCTGTCTTTGATTATATTTTTATTAATAATAATATTAGGAAATCTGTATGAGCAGTGATAGGGGTTCAAACCTATGCGGTGGGTGCTCCCACGCACATGCTTCTAGGTAATAAGGTAATAAGGATTGCAACCTGGATTTCTTTTGAACACAAGGATTTTCTGAGGCTCGTGTGTTCAGAAGAACTCCAGGTTGCAATCCTTATTACCATGTCGTGGTCTAGTTGTTAGAAGCGTGTGCGTGGGAACACCCACCGCATAGGTTAGAACCCTCATACTGCTCCTATAGATTTTGTCATTGATGCAGTCATGTTAGTGTGATTACTCTCTGTAATAATAATAATAATAATAATAATAATAATAATAATAATAATAATGAGTTACGGTGCTGCCACTGACAATAACGATTTAAAGAAGAAGTGCGTAAAATTGGGCAAATTGTACAGCTCTGATGTTGATGGACAGCAGCTATATAAAAAAAATTTGGATTGCAGAATGTTACTGTGAAGTTGGGCCAGTGTAAAAATATGAAGACTTGAAGAGCTTCTTGAATTTATTGTTCAGTATGGAGATGAGAGCATCTTTCGTAATCTTTGCATTGCAACTCAGATAATGCTAACCACTGCAGTTTCCATTGCCGGCTGTGAGAAATCACTCAGCAAATTAAAACTAATACTTTTGCATATGAGAGCCTCCATGGGTCAAGGCAGACTCTGATCTTGCTCTGCTAAGTGTAAAAAGAAAAGGAACTAAAAAACTGGATTTGACTACATCATGGATCCATTTGCATTAGTGAAAGCAACGAAGATACAGTTGTAATTTTCATGTAGTGTTGTAATTTGTCAATGAAAGTACAGTGGTACCTCCACTTAGGAATTTAATACGTTCCCAGAGATGGGTCATAAGTTGAAAAATCGTAAGTTGAAACGAATTTTCCCATACGAAATAATATAAATTGAATTAATCCGTTACACACCCCAAAAAATAATAACTTAAAAAATACATTTTATACTGAATAGCACTTCTAATACTAGCTACTATACAGTACAGTATGTATATCTTATCTTTACTGAGGACTCTTGTTGGCATATGGAAGACAGTGAGGAGGGGGGAAGGAGAGGCATTATTGTTTGGAAGGGGAGTCCCCTTCTATTATAACATAAGCAGTGATGACTTCTCTGTGGTACACATTCTCGTATATTTTGCATGCATACCACTAGGACCTGGTTGTGGTTCACTGCTTGTTTGACTCACTAAGAACCTTTCCATACACCTGTTGATACACCTTTTGCCACTTTAGCACTCATAATGTCCTTTTTCTTAGCAAGTACGGTGGATATCGTTGACATAGATTTGTTGTACTGCCTAGCTAGATATTCAACCTGCACACCATCTTCATATTTACGAATGATCTCTTGTTTTTCCTGTGGTCATCCTCACGTGTGTTTTCTTAAGTTGAATCTTACCACTGACTTTCTTGGGACTCATGGTGTGATATATAATAATTACTTTTATGTTCAAAGAACCAAAAAGCACAAAAACAATGAAGTTGTGTACAAGTGTGATCGTCATTAAGTGGGCGGCTCTGGTAAACTGATACGGGGTCGCCCATGCCACCAAGAACCACGTGCTCAGTCGACCCATACATGTATGAACAAAGTAGATAGTCGAGGCAAAGATCGTAAGTTGAGCTTCATTTTTCAATGAAATTAGGGTCGTAACTCAAAAAAATCATAAGTAGGGGCAGTCGTAAATCAAGGTGCCACTGTATTAATGAACTTGACTGGCATTTTTGAGCTGATTTTATGGTAAAGTTATCCATGAGATGAGTGTCAGATTGGACAGGTACACAATTTCAGTGCTTGCCGTAGGCTCTGTTTTCCATAGATATGCCACTGCTTCTCTGAAGGAACCAGGAAACGTGTAGAATCAAAAAGGACCCAAATATCACATCTAATTCCCCCCAAGCCATGGAAGCCGCAGAAAAAGCCCCAAGGGGGAGGGCCAAAATCTGCCCCCACTGCCCCAGACAGAAAAGTGGTGTTCAAGGAGAGGCTTCAAAGGATGGAGGGGGCTCAGCGGAAAGGAAAATCCAGGTGCTTTGGCCGGATGAGCAGACATAATTGCCTCCACTCCCAATTCGGAAGGAGCAACCCCCGAAGCTGGCCGAGTCACATTCTGAGCTAAACCCTAACCAGACCCAGAAATTCTCAGATGATTTAGGGCCAAAAGGAATTGGGAGGAGGGGGGGACAGAGAAAGGTGAATTACATTTGAACAGGAAGGAAGAGGAGGTGTGGATGGAGCGAAGGTGAAGTTCACTAACACCTCCATTCCCGGGTCCCTAAACACCACCTGGGGAAGCTTTGGGGCATCCATCTGGGCACACAACCTAGACCACTGCAACTGAGAATGCCCAACATGCAAAGCAGGAACTGCCTGAGAATCTCTAATCTAATCGGAAAAGCCACAAACAAGAGCCATGTGGGGAGAGCAAACCCCCACAGGACTCGGAGGGTAGAAGGTTTCACTGACCCAGCAGGTACCATGGCAGATGCAGAAAGAATTAACGCCACCATGTGGCACAGATAACGTGCAGTCCTTCACCATTGTGATGCTCCATGTTTATTGGAACATTCCCCCTGTGTGCCAAAATTCAATTATTCCCAATTTTTTTTTTTTATCTGTAAAATGATTAATTCCTTTCCTTGAACACATATATGTAAAAAAAACTAAATAAATTCCCCACAGCCTTACTTTGGCTGTGGGGACATGGAGAAGGGAGCGTGTGACGTCATCATTTGCTGTGCACCCGTGCGTGAAGCTTCCAGAGGTGGTCGTGCGGGCCATTCAAGCACTGCGAGTTGCCACAAATATATTTTCAATTATTTGTTCTGTGTATTTCCAATGCAGTTTTATTTGTTTTTTATTGTATATGATGCATATTTGTGTCCTTTACAATATGTAAACATTAGAACGTTCATAATTTTCCATGGAACTATGATACATGTGTCAGTACTGTGTCCATAATAAATGTTTATTGTCGCAATATTACTTGTTCTAAATTCATTAAAATTACAATATGTACAGTTTCAGACACTATTTACACTGTACCACACTGTATTACACAGTACTTCGGAAGTGAGTGATAATCAATGAAACAGTCCATGGTAGACAATGCAACTTTGCTCTCAATGCACCAGGTACAAACAGATTTTTGCTTCCTGTTTCTTCATTCTGTGTGCTTGCAAATAATGCACTGACGTACATCCTTGGCTTTCGTACCTGTAGGTGGTATGTAGCCAAGCTTGTGAAGTGTAAGGTAGTCTTGAAAAGATCGCTTTGTAAGGTATTCTAGAAGATATTCAGCAATTCTGGAAGAGATTCAGCTATTATTGAAAAGATCTATGGAAAACACCACCACAGAAGCTGCTAACACTGATCATATATGCTACTTGTATCATATGCATCATCAGACAACTCAGAAAACTATTCGGCTATGTATCGTCTATAAAAAAAAATTGGAGATAACACGGGTAAGCATGGGTGGAGCTCAGCTACAACCTGCAAAAAAAAAAAAAAAAAAAATCACTTGCATCTGACCCTTTGTGTTAGATCCTTATTGTGCCTAGCTTCATCAATATCATGACCCTTATGTTCTTCAAACAATAAGGTCTGAATTTCACTGACGGAGAGCGATCTTTCAACACCACATCCGACAGGATTGGAAGCCGGAAGCTCCTGCGCCACCCGTGGTTGCTCATTCAGAACTGATCCTGCTGGCAGTCCTAGGGAAATTGGGATTTTTTTTTCAAGATGGCTGCCCCTCACTGGAGATCGCAGGAGTCCATTTCATACTCAACTTACCGCGAGCGCATTTCGACTGTGTACAAAAAAAGAAAAAAAATGTTTTCTTGATTGTCACAGTAATGGGCAAACGAGATTTCTTGGCCGATGCAGCACAGTGGTTAAACTTGCACAAAACTTGCAAGTTTGGGGAGATATCCATAGAACCACCAAACCTGTTGGGGATATCCATAGGACCACCAAACCTGTTGGGAATTTCCAGGGCCTAAAGGGAAAGTCCAACAAGACACCCAGGTACTAGGATCACTATACCAGATTTAAAAGTAAGCTGACACAGCAGCCTGTCCTCCTTAGGTTTCCCATCGTCAAGAAAATGGTCAAGTTAAAATGTCCTTTCCTAACCAACCAGAGAACCCAAAACAGAAAACAGGACAGTACTGTACGTCACTTTTGCGAGTCACTTCTATTTTCTAGTCTGACAATTTTTGGCTTTATGTAACGTATACGATTGAAATGCGACGTTCTTTGTAGGAGGACAGGTTGGACACAGCCTGGGTTATGTGGCTATGAAGGCCGACCTCAGCACATGAACTACCAGTGTGTCCTACCAGCTATAGTCACACCTGATCTTAGTAAAGACAGGAACGTCCCAAGACCCCTTACGTCACCCTAGATGAAGGCCACATAAGTCCGGACCTCAAAGGGAGCGACTCTTGAACACTGCATGGAAGATAACCCCTGCAGTGCAAGGGCAGCACTACTGAGCATGCAGGGAAGGTTACCCCTGCATACATACAGCTCCAAGCACACTAAAAATTTGGTTTATGCTATACTGCAGTGTACAAGAAATG